TTTTTTGGCTGCACCACACAGCTTTCGGGATCTTAGTTCCCCGACCAGGGATCAAACCTGGGCCCCCTGCAGTGGAAGTGCAGAGTCCTAACCACTGGACTGCCAGGGAATTCCCTCAGTTTGCATTCTTACTAACAGTGTATGGTGTCTCTTTCCCCGTTGCTGCTCCAGTAAAATGTGTTGACGTATTTTTACATTTTTACTGGTTTAGTATATGAGAAATGGTATCTCGGTGTAGTTTTAAATTGCATTTTAGAGTGGAGTTGAACAAGTCTTTTCATATGTTTATGGCTATTTATTGTAAATGGGGTTTTGTTTACCATTATATACTCCAAAACTGGGTATTGTGTAGGTATATAAAGTCCATTGATTTCTGTGTGTTAATTTTATATTCCACAACTTCCTGAATCTTTTATTATTTGGGTTAGTTTTGTAATTGATTCTCTGGAGTTTCCCTAACATACTATCATATTATCTGCAAAGAAAATTTCCAATTCTTACGCCTATAACTGATTTCTCTTGTCTGATTTTGTTGTCTACTATCACCCTTCCTACTCATTGTTAAATAGTAGTGGAAGCAGTGGACATCTCTGCCTTGTTCCTTATCTTACTGGAAAACTTCTAGTTCTCCATTAAGTTAGAGGCTGGTTTTAGGACTCAGTTATATTTATTTACTCAATTAACAAATCATCAGAGTACAAAATTACTTTAAATTATATCTCAATAAACCTGATGTTAAAAATAAAAATCTATCTCTGCTGCTTCTGGGTTTGGAGGAGAATGGTGGCTACCTAATTTTGAATCTCCCCATGTCCCTTTCCCTCGCTCCCCAAACATAAAAACAACAGGGAGAGTAAATAGAACCACACTTGATCCTACGTACAGCAATACTAAGAGACAGAGAGTATCATGGCCTTCAAATTACCTGTAAGTTGTGAAATAAACTTACTTCCATTAAAGATCCTGCTGCTACTAGCCAGCAGGTGCTGAGAACAGAAGTGGGGGAGGCTTAAAAGACTCCATGAAAAAAAGAAAGTGGTTCAGAGGACTTAGGCAAAGCACAAACCGAGTAATCCCCTTACCTGCAGAAAGAGAAACTCCAACACTAAGTGCAAAATACTGAACACAGGTTTGGATATACTAGAACATAGTACCAGCTCTTGAAAGAGTGTGGGACTGGGAACAGAAGCCTCAGAGAAGCATCGCTTCTGGAAGAGAATCAGATATGTAGAGGTGTGTGTAGTTTCCCTTGGAGATAGTCTACTGAAGGGAACGAAGAAGATAAGAGGGGAAAAGTTAAGGATGCTGCAGAAACAAAAGAATATACACATCAACTCCTTCTTCCAATGGCGCTATCTGAAAAGAGACTGCACAGGAAAGGGGGACTGTCAGAGGAGGGCACTCTCAAGCTAGGAGCTCTGTCCAAAACCTGATTAGGGTTATTAAAAAGCAGATCACATCCATGTGAAACTGTAAAAAGCTGAAAATGTGATTCAAAGTTGAAATGCTGATGAAAATTCTCAATCAAAAAGTTGACAGAAACTATAACACAGTCCTCCATACTGAATGACATATCCTCTAAAAGTATTGAGGAATAATGAAAAAGCTTGAATCAGAAATTTAAAAACTGAAAACAGAAATGGACGTGCCCCCCCACCCCCGCAAAACAAAGGAAGAAATGAGTGTTGATTGAACCAGAAAAGAAATAGAAGAAAAAAGTCCAAATAATATTAGAGATGAAGACTAAATTACAGGGTGTCCAAGGGATAATAAATTCATGTAAAAATGTTATAAGGGGCATTGAGCTAAAGCAGGGATATAAAAACAGACTTAGAGACTGAAAATGAGCTTAAAAAAAAAGTAGTAAAAAGGGTTAGAGAGGAAATGATTGAATTGGAAGACTAGGAGAAGAGGTCCAACATAGACTACTTTGGAGACTGGAGAAGAAAATCAAAACATCTGACCAGAACTAATATCTAAAATTAGAATCCAAGAAGACATTCCAGAAATAAAAGGAACCTTAAATCTACATATTGAAAGGGCCTACTAGACACCAGGGAAAATACCCAGAACAGCCTAAGAAGTATCCTAGTAAAGCTATTACACTTTAAATATGTTTTAAAAAAATCCTCAGGGCCTCTAGGAAAAGATGACTTTGAAAGACATGTAAATTAGACTGGACAGACTTTTCACAAATAACATACAAAGCAAGGTAACAGTGAAGCAACGTTTCTACGAATCTTAAGGAAGTACAAACCAAGGATTTTATATCTAAGCAGCTGCCTTTCAAGAATCAATCAAGGTTATAGAAAGTTTTTTTTAATTTGTTTTAATAAATTTATTTATTTACTTTTGGCTGCGTCGGGTCTTCGTTGCTGCGAGCAGGCTTTCTCTAGTTGCTGCAAGCGGTGGCTTCTCTTGTTGGGCTGTAGGCGCTCACGCTTCAGTAGTTGTGGCACGTGGGCTCAGTAGGTGTGGCTCGCGGGCTGTAGAGCGCAGGCTCAGTAGTTGTGGTGCACGGGCTTAGTTGCTTTGCGGCATGTGGGATCCTTGCGGACTACGGCTCGAACCCGTGTCCCCTGCATTGGCAGGCAGATTCTTAACCGTTGTGCCACCAGGGAAGTCCTAGAAAGACGGTTCTGAATGTCCAAGAACTCAGAGAATACTGTGCCCATGTGCCCTTTCTGGTGAATCTACTTGAGGGAGATTCTAACCAGGTATGACTAAGGAAACTCCAAACGGATGAATGAAGACTTCATACGTGTATTTGTAGAGCTGCGACCAACGAGGATGAGGCGTTTTGGTGAATCAGTCAGAGTTTGATCAGGGGAGAAGGAGTAAGGAGAAATAATAAGGATTTGTTAAAGGCACTTGACTATGTAGTTGTGGGAGCTGGTTAACTAGTCTACATGTATATAGCTGTTGCTTCTGTGTCTGATGCCTCAATTTGAAGTCAGAAGTTCAGGCAGTTGAAAAGGAAAGATGGATAAGAAGTAGGGGAGATCAAGGGTAAACTACAACCTGCACACATGAACTGGAACCCGTAAGGATGAACTGGAACCTATGTAAGCTTCCAATTTAAATAATGAGGTGACCAGAAAAATAAGTTTGTACCCCTCATCAGGAGCTAAAAACTTGCCTGGCCCAGGAGTTGCAAAAGCTGCGGGAGGAGATCTGGCAGGAGCTGGTGCAGCTGCCGGGGCCCAGCTGCTACCCCACAACCACTGAGGTGAGCCAGTAGATGAGCTACAGAGTGTGTAAACTGCAGTAGCACCTGGTGCCCTGCACCAATCTTCCAACAAGAGAGGATATGGCTGCTGCTGCCCTTAACACCTTCCAGTTCTCTCACATAATATCTTGTGGTCCAGGATAACCCAGAGCTAGGCAGGGAATAGAATACTGGAAAACAATTCCAACTTAGCTAAATCGATAAATCCATCACCCAAGAGTAGAAGAATAATATAAAATCATATATTCTGACAAAATTAGAAAGAATGCAACTAAAGAAAGATGGAAAGAAAAAGGAGAGAGGGGAAACAGAAGACTATTGATTATTGTATATTGTATTGTATATTGTATTATTGTATAATAAGTGGTAAAGGATGCCATTTAAAAATGATAGGTCAGATAGCAAAAGGTTATAAAAATGGGTATTAATACTTTTATAATATTAAAAGTATTAATAGAAACCACTGGAACAAAAATAGAAAACTTTTTTTTTTTTAAGAAAACTTTTAAAATAGAAATAAGTTGCTTCCTTTATTGCTTGGTACATGGATATTCCTAATCGTTTTATCTTTGTTGTGAATGCTTTTCACATTAAAACGTTTCTTCCTTTGCCCTGTTTAATGCTTTGGGGCTTGAAATCTACCTTGTCGGGTAGATCCTACCTACCAGGATCACACCCTTATGTTCCTGTCGCTTTCACTTGCCCACATATCTTTGTGCATATCTTTATTTTTAGCTTTTCTGATCCAAATCATTTTAGTAGGTGAGTTAAACCCATTCACATTTATTTATAAGTAGTGTTATGTATAGTTACTGTGTTATTTTGTGTATTAGGTTTTATTTGCTGTTTCTCAACATGATGTGCTTTTTTGCTATTTTACTTTACTGATTTCTTTTGATATGTAGGAAGTGTTGTATTTCTCTTTTATTGGTTATCTTTGTGCTTATAACTTTAAAAAATAATAATAATGAACATTTGTTGAAGTTTTACAGTAAACTAGGTACTATGCTAAATGTCTTATACAGATTTATCTTTTTAAATCCTCAAAACTGACCTATGAGGCAATTCCTGTTATTTTCCCATTTTACAAATAAGAAAACTGATGCACAGAGAGATTAAGTAACATGCCCGAGGTTATCAATGCTGAGTTTTTCTCTGAATCCAGCCTAACACTTCATACTTTTTTTTTTATATTATTTTCTTGATATACTGTATTGATTAGATAGAAGAAATATGTTGTTTTTAGTTTTCAGCAGGTCTGCTGTCTACAACAAGGTTTGTTCTAAGAACTATACAATAGGAATTTTAAATAAAGACCTTATGGAAACATCTTGCTTATATTCATTATGTTAATCTATAATAGAGTTAGGTCAGAAAAATTTAAGAGGATAATGTGATAATAAATACCAACAAAAAGCAATCATAGTCACTGTGAATTTCAAAGGGGATTAAAACAGGTGGAAAAAAGTTATAAAATTTCAACATCTTCTAAGAAGATAGAGAATATTATTTTAAAGCTTTATCTAGATAAAGGACACAGGGTTGTAAACTTAAAATAGCTGCATGGCTTTGATCATATGTGTTTGAATTTAGATTTAAATGTTAATTTTTTATTCATGAGTGTAAACGCAGTTGAAGATACTAATTTAGTTCTGTGTTTCCTCTTTTTTAATCTCTGACTGTTTATTTATGACCCGAAACCTAATATGTGGATGGTGATACTCAAACTTTAAAACTTCATAATGTTCAACGTATAACTTTTCCCGTTTAGATGGTCTTCTGATTGTTGGTGTTCACTCGGCTAAGTTTCCAAATGAAAAAGTCCTGGATAACGTTAAGAGTGCTATTCTTCGATACAACATCACCCACCCTGTGGTTAATGATGCAGATGCCAGCCTTTGGCAAGAACTAGAAGTTTCCTGCTGGCCAACTCTGATCATACTTGGACCCCGTGGAAACATGTTGTTTTCTTTGATTGGAGAAGGACATAGAGAGAAATTATTTTTATATACTTCAATAGCTTTAAAATATTACAAAGACAGGGGACAGATCAGAGATAATAAAATTGGAATAAAACTCTATAAAGATTCTTTGCCACCTTCACCATTGCTGTTTCCTGGCAAAGTAACAGTAGACCATGTTTCTAATAGATTGGTAATAGCAGACACTGGACATCATAGAATTTTGGTCGTCTGGAGGAATGGACAAATTCAGTACAGCATTGGAGGTAAAGTTTGCTAATTATGTTATATAATGTATTTTACACTATACATGTAAAAAACTAGTTCAAGGAAATGCATTAAAATTGAAATTTATAAATAAGAACTAATTGTAGAAGGGCAATATACACTGATTTTAACTTCATCAGGAATTATTTTGTTAATTGTGTCTGAATTAATCTCTTCTCACTCCCTCAAAAACAAACAAAACTACCCAAAAAAACTCCATTAAGATCAAAAGGAGGAGATCTTTTGTGTAATTTTCAAGTATATTCATATATCCCATCTTGTTTTTTCAAAAAACTGCCACAGTATTATATCTTATGAAAGTATTATATACATTTTAGATTTTGGGCATTTTAAATGGAAGTATTTCACTTTCCATCAAAATATAGCCATATATATTTATTTGTTTGTTTGTTTGTTTATGGCTGCGTTGGGTCTTTGTTGCTGCGTGCGGGCTTTCTCTAGTTGCAGTGAGTGGGGGCTACTCTTCGTTGCGGTGCACAGGCTTCTCATTGTGGTGGCTTCTCTTGTTGCAGAGCATGGGCTCTAGGCAAGCGGGCTTCAGTAGTTGTGGCACGCGGGCTGAGTAGTTGTGGCTTGCGGGCTCTAGAGTGCAGGTTCAGTAGTTGTGGCACACGGGCTTAGTTGCTCTCCGGCACGTGGGAGCTTCCCGGACCAGGGCTCGAACCCGTGTCCCCTGCATTGGCAGGCGGATTCTTAAGCACTGCACCACCAGGGAAGTCCCTAGCCATATGTTTTTTAAGACCACAGCAATACCCTAGGAAGTTGAGTCTTAGATTATGAAATAACCTAGGATTTGTATATTATTATACTTTTCTCTCCTTCTGTAAGAACTTAAGCATACTTCTGAATCCATTCCATTTGGTTGTAGTGAAATAAAAGTATCATATAGGCATAGATCATTTTCTTTCATATCTCCCTGGTCTTGATCTAAAAAGGGCTCTTATTGACATCTTATATAATTAATAAAATCTGTTAAGTACATTATTAATCCTGCTCACCAGACTGAACTGACATCTGACAACATAATTAGTCAAAGAGAAAAGTAATTCATCTCTTTGCAATCCTACTTTGGTCACACATGCAGTGTTAGTACATAAAGTAGGGATATCAACATTCCTGATGCAAATAAACTAATAAATAAACTAAAAAATAAACTAATTGTTTCCTAAGTCCTGGGGCTATTCTTAGTATGCCAAGGTATCATTCCCTTAGCTCTTGAATTCATTTGTTTCTTATTTGTTGTTTCTCTTAGAGTATGTGTGTGTTCTATATTGTTTATTTTGCTTGGGCAACTTGGTATTTTGGTTAATAACAGGAAGTTATGACAGTTGTTACTCAAAAAGCATCTGTTATAGCAAATTACATTTAAATGGTTAAAGGTTTTTAATAGATTTCTAAAATTTTCTAGTTTAGATGGATATTCTCCTTTTTTAAACAGAGGAACCAGCAGCAAGCTACCTTTTCCAAATATGTTTCTAGGAATATTGTTATCTTGTGATAAATTTATAGTTATTCTACAATTTTTAAAAAAGAATTCCGTGGTCAGATACACTCAGGAAATACTGGCTAGATGTGCTTTAAAAGATTTTTGGTGGTGGTGATGTCACTGTAGCCGGGTCTTGCACTCTGCCTAACGTCGCTCATGAATATGTGAGAGGAGGTTATACTATACAGTATTTTCCAATCTGAAGTGATCACAGCACTCTCCCTTTTTTTCCCCCAGGGAACTCTCATCACCAGCAGTAATAAATAGTATTATTAATAATAGTAATAATCGCAAACAAAAATATGCCTGGCATTATTCTAATCACTTTACCTGTGTTAATTTATTTAGTCCTCACAGTGCTATGAGTTAGGTATATTATTAATTCCATTTTACAAAAGAGAAACTGAGACACACAGAACTTGCCCAGATCATCAGCTAGGAAGAGCTAGGGTTTAAACGAAGTCTGTTAACTTGGGATTCATGGGCTATTAAGAAATGCTTGAATGATCCTCATGATTTAGGAACCCCTTGAAATTCCTGTGACATTTTATGGGCACGTGTATTTTTGTAAGGAAAGGGTTCGTAATTTTCAGTTGTAATCAAAGGAGTTTATCTTCCAAAATTGTTAAAAATCATTCATCTAGATTGTAAAAGATTTTATTTTTTAATTCTTTCTAGTCTAGATAATAGGTAATTCAGATGCTTTTTGAAGTAATTTCTTCTGCTATCTACTACTAAAGTGTACTAGTAACCATTATCTAGTAAGCCCTGTCATTAGCAAAATTTATACTCTTGAGAAAAATAGGTATCTTGGGATACAGTTTAGTTTTTAGGTAGAAGTATCAAGTTATTTATATTAAAATCCCAGCTTTAAATACAAATTTTATTTTTTCGGTGTTCATTTGAGATAACTTTAAGTGGAAAAATATTGTCTTACAGCTATCTTGTCTTGTAGGACCCAACCCTGGAAGAAAAGATGGAATGTTTTCAGAGTCAACTTTTAACTCACCACAAGGTGTAGCCATAATGGATAATATCATATATGTGGCAGATACAGAAAACCACCTTATAAGAAAGGTAATTTTCCATTTTAAATAAAGTTTTAATCCTTCTAATCAGAAAAACTTATACTTACTTGCTACATAAATATTTGAAGTGAGAGGGTGTTGCTTAAATACTTCAGATCATCCTCATTCAGCTTTTTTCAGAGGTTACTTGCTTTAACTTTATTCTTAGACAAACCCATCAAATCGTTTTTTAATTCTTTATTTTAAAGTCATGTGCCTAATCACCCAAAAGCTCCTCATTTTGAGGTATTTTCCTAACTACTATTTATAAAGAGATGCTTTGTCCTTTTTCAGTTAAATTTTCTCAAACTTAGAAAAAAAAAACATACCACTCCTGCATCCCTTCAGCTCTTATGCTTTGTCTGGAAATATTTATCTGTCAGTTAGTCTTAAAATTTATTTTATCTCATTATAAAAGTAATATACGGTCTTGTTTTAAAAAAAATGAATTAATACATAAAGGTAACAAAGGTCTCCTAATCATCTATTCAAGCTCTCCAGGGGTAACCAACCATTGTTAAAATTTGTGTGTTCAGAAATTTTCTACTCACGTATGAATAATTTTATATTGAAAGGACTGTCTCTAGAGAATCTTCTTCTTTAAACAAATGGAATCATAATGTACATACATAATTCCTACATTCTTTTTTTAACTTTTTTTTTCCATGTTAGTCATATGACTATGACTGCATAGTATTACCTAGTTATTTTAAACATTTCTTATTGATGAGCATTCTGACTGTAATCTGTTGGTCTTTAAGTTGTTATTTCTGTTTGGAAAATAAGTAAGTTCATCTAACCCATTCCGTCTGAACATATATGTACTACATATTGTACCTAAGTACATTTAGGTACTTCCCTGCTTTTCTCGCTATTTCTCTCTCTTGATATTTTTGCCCATTTATATTATAAAAATTATCAACTAATATATATATAATAGGAAAAAACATATGTAGAACATTTAGTAATAACCACTGTAATGTAAATCTCCATGAGGGCATGACATCTGTTTTCTTTACTACTGAAATCCTAAGCACCTAAAACAGTGCCTGGCCCACAGTAGGTGTTTATTAGATATTTGTTGAATTAATTTATAAGCAAATAACATCTGTTGAATGAAGCATTTTCTAAAGCGTGAATTCCTCTTAATATGAAAAGATGTTACATGAAAAAAGGATTTTGTGGATTTATAAATTAAAGCAGACTTGTTTTTTTTTTTTGCGGTACGTGGGCCTCTCACTGTTGTGGCCTCTCCCGTTGTGGAGCACAGGCTCCAGACGCACAGGCTCAGCGGCCATGGCTCACAGGCCTAGCCGCTCCGCGGCATGTGGGATCTTCCCGGACTGGGGCACAGACCCGCGTCCCCTGCGTCGGCAGGCGGACGCTCAACCACTGCGCCACCAGGGAAGCCCTTAAAGCAGACTTATTTTTTGAAAGTCTTGCTAATATATTTTAATATGCTAATATATTGTGAATACACTAGTGGGGGGATATCTGTGTGGTATTTCTAAACTTATTTGACCAAGGAGCCCTTTTTAGGCAGAACTTTTCATAGGACGAATAGCTTAATGTTGTATACTCTGGGAAGAGTGCTTTTATGTTACTAACTCCTTAGAGGTCAGTATTTCCTTATCATCATCTTTTGGGGGTTCTGTGCTTCTAAAATTCATCATAGGGTCATAGATATCTAACAGGATATTGAAGTAGTAATATATGTAGCCCACAACATACAGGGAGTACTTGTCCTTTTTTGATTTTATGTTATTTCTCTTGCTTTAGGACTTAGTGGGTTTTGGAGTATTGACTGCATTTCAAATACTTTTTAAGTAGCATAATCATGATAACAAATACAGGTTACTCGAGGTCATTTTTATGACTTAGTTTAGTGTCTGCAAAAATGGAAATGAGAGAATTATGATTTCTTCCTTTTGTTTTAAAAAAACAAAAGTTTTAAAAGTATAAAAATATTTATTGTATTTTACATTTGTTTAAGATCTCATTTGCAGAGGGTTGATCATACTCCTACATTCACAGCTCATGAACATCATTGTTCCATGCCGACCTGTCTCTTGTTAGAATAACTTATTTATTAATTTGTAAATTCCTCTTCATCTCCATTCCCATTTCCCCTGCCATTCCCTGTACATAAGTACTCCTATAGGCAGCCTTTCTGATATGTTTGATTCACATTTTCTTATTTATCTGTGACCTTGTAAAACATGTAGTATTTTGTGTGTGTGTTTTCTTTTTTTTTTGGTGTGTGTGTGTTTATAACAACTTTATTGTGATATATTTTACATAGTACAAAGGTCACCCATTTCATGAATATAATTCAGGAATTTTTAGTAAATTTAACAAGTTGTGTAACCATCACCATAAATCATTTTTACAACATTTTCAACCTCCTAGTAAGAACCCTCATGCCCAATTACAGTTAATCCCCGTTCCCACCCCCAGCCCTAATCTACTTTTTGTCTCTGTAAATTTGCCTCTTTGAACATTTCATATAAACAGAATCATACAGTATATGGTCTTATGTGTCTGGCTTCTTTCATTCTGTGTAATGTTTTTGAGGTTCATTGATGATGTAACATGTCAGTAATTAATTCCTTTGTATTGCTGGATAGCATTCTGTTGCATGTATAAACCACATTTTATCTGTTTAACAGTTGGTGGGCATTTAAGGTGTTTTCCAATTTTTGGCTATTTATAAATAATTCACATATAAGTTTTGTGTGGACATACATTTTTATTTCTCATGGGTAAGTCTGTAAATACTGGAAGTGTTGATTCATATGTTTTATATTTTGTGTTTAACTTTTTGAGAACGTGCTAAACCACAGTGGTTGCATCATTTTACATATCTACCTGCAATATATGTGGGTTCCAATTTCTCCATATCTTCACCATTACTTATCATTTTCCATTTTCTTTTTTTTTTTTTCCATTTTCCATTTTTAAACTTCTAGGCATTCTACTAGATGTGAAGTGGCCTATCATTGTGGTTTGGAATATGTGTTTCTCTGATGAGGAATGATGTTGAGCATCTTTTCCTACGTATATGGACCATTTGTTTATCATCTTTTGAGAAGTGTCTATTCAGATTCATTGACAATTTTTTATTGGGTTTTTCTGTTTTTTATTATTGAGTTGTAAGAGTTCTTTATATATTCTAGATGCAAATTCCTTATCAGATATATGATTTTCAATACTGTCCCACATTCTGTGAGTTGTCTTTCTTTTATATATATACAAAAGTCAATTGCTTTTTTTTTTAACATCTTTATTGGAGTATAATTGCTTTACAATGGTGTGTTAGTT